CACAGCCTCCCCACCCAGCCTGCTTCCAGCCAGGGGTCACCGTGGTCCAGGAGAGAGCCTCCAGGCCTCCCTTCCCCTCAGACACCTCCCTCAGATTCCAGCGCCCCAGAGCCCTTCCTGCCTCCTGCCGTCCCTTCCTGCCTCCTGCCGTCCTTGGGAAGCGGGGCTGTGCCTTACCTCGGCTCAGTCACACCGGACCCCCCGAGGTTTCCTGACTGAGCCCTGTGTAGGTGCGAGCCCTACGCCTCTGGTGTGCTGCTCCGAGAGCTGGAGAGCCCTTCCCTCCCCAGAGCCCGGTGGCTGCAGGTGTGTGGGAGGCACATGTCACTCCGCCTCTCGCTGTGCCTTGGACCAGCCTGCATGGGGCTGGGACTGCCCGCTGCCTCCACTGTATGCCCACAGCCTCACCAAGGTGGGCACTCAGGGAGGGCGAGAGAGGAGGCCGCCATTCACATCCCGCTCCGATCCGAGCTCCCAGGACACACTCTGCAGGTGAGGTGCAGTGGCTGTGCAAGTCCCTGCACCCACCATGGGCACCAGGGGCCTGGCGGACTTACTTCAGGGTGAGCTTGCCGTTGCAGGCGGAGCAGGAGAAGCAGTTCACACACCAGGCCTTGTTGAGGGCTGACACCACTGTAAAGAGCAAGTGGGGGCTCAGCAGGCCCTGCCCAGGCTGGCGCGAGCCCAGCTGCACACAGTGAGGGCCAGTTGGCCCACAGCTGCAGGACCCCCAGCCGAGGGAGCGCAGGGGGCACAGGGACTGTGGAGCCTCACCATCGCCCTCGATCACGTGGCTGCAGTTGTAGCAGACGTCCCCAAAGAGCTGTGGACCAAGCACGTGTCAAAGTACTGCAGGCAGCCATGGCCCCCACACTGCCCCAAACCGTGTCCTCTCGTATCCTCCTGGGCCCTTCCTGCCAGGGCCCCTCCTCGGCCTGTCAGCATCACCCCAGGAAGGACAACAGGTGCAGGCCTTCCTCCAAAGAGGCCGCCTTGTTCCCGCTGGTGTCCTGAGAGGGTGGGGGCCAGGATGGTAGCCCCATCCTCTGTACAGAACAGCTGGACCATCTTGCCAGATGTGGGTGGGGGGACAATGGTGACACATGCCACCCCCTTGAGCCCCGGACCTCACACTGTCCTGTCTTTCAGTTCCCCCAGCAGGCCTGAAAGGCCAGGAGGGCACACTCCTCACATAAGACACAGAGTACGAAGAAGCTGCTCAGGCCTCAAGGCCCTGTGCGAGCATGCCGGCCTGGCTCAGCTCTCCCAGCGGGCTCTGGAGGGGCTGCCCGGCACCCTGCCTGCTCGGATGTCTGCAGCCCCCACCACACCCGTCACTGTGCAGGCTCCCCGAGGGCTCCAGAAGGCAGGCAGCCTCCCTCCGGACCTGGGCCCCTGTGGCCCTGCCAGGCCAGCCCCTGGCTGTAGTAGGTCTCATGGGAGGCCTTGCCTGGTTGTAGTGGGTCTCACAGTAGGCCAGGCCCTTCTTCTCATAGTGCCGGTGCCCCAGGAACGGCTTCTCACACTTGGCGCAGACAAAATGCTGGAAGGAAAATGGGTGTGCAGGGCAGCTCGGGGCGGGAGGTCAGTGGGGTGGAGAACCTCACTGGGCTCCCAGCTGGGCAGTGGGCTCCATTGCACTGCCTCTGGGTCAGCACACCCACCTGACCCGCTCCTCCCCCCCGTCAGCACTCTCTCCAGGCCTGCTCCCCACCCCCGCAGCCTTGGCTCTGCTGTCAGGTCCTGCTGAGGCACCGTCCTCTTGCGGCAGCTCTGCTCTTCGCATGCCCTTCCTCAGAAGGCTGCCCAGCCTCCCTCCCACGAGCATCCCCTTCAGCCCGGAGTCCCTGAGGAGTACCGTCCGGTCTGGGCAGTGGGCGGGTGAGGATTCGCCCCCACAGGGTGCTGGGAGGCAGGGCCTGCCCTGGGACTTTCTCCAAGAGGCCATCCAAGGCCGAGCTTCTGGGACCAGAGCTGGCCATGGCCTCGGGGGACACAAACCTCCCTTCTAAGCAGTATCCGTAGGACTGTCAGAGTCCACAGTGCAGAGGCAAGGGCTCCAGGTGGCCCAGGTGGACAAACCTGAGGAGCTGACCAGCAGGTGTGCCCTGCTTCCACATCTACGTGGGGCTGTGCACAGCCAGTTTGTCAACCATAATCCCACAGGGCACCCGGGGCAGGCTGGCCCCGAGGTGTTCCTGTGACTTTGGAATCCTGCAGAAGGCCAGGAGGAGAGGAGGGAAGGTGGGCGTGGCTGCCCGACCACCAGCTGTGCACTCAGGTCTCCTGGCTCTGGGACAGGCTGGTCCCCCCAGGGGCAGAGGGGCAGCGTCCAGCCAGAAGGTCCCTGCTGGGAGCCAGTCAGCTGGCTGGTGCTGGAGTCTGCAGGGCCAGGCACTGACTGTGCACCAGGGCACCCCCACCTCCAACTGGGGCCCTGGGCCCGAGGCAGGCATAGGCCGACCATGCTCACCTCCACGTGCCACTGCTTGCCCAGGGCATTAACCACGCGGCCCTCGATGGGCCGGCGGCAGGCGCCGCAGATGGGGACACCCATCTTGTCGTGGCAGGGCAGGCAGTAGAGCTCACCCTTCAGCTCACGGGCCTCGGCAGTCAGTTCCTTCCTGGAAGACAGTGCAGGTGACGTCCCTGTCCTTCTGCAAGCTGGGCTGCCACAAGCCACACCAGCCCCTCCAGCCCAGGGAGCAGCTTCCTGAGAGGCCCCCTGTCCTTGCAGAATGCCCAGGGCAGGCGGCTCTTTGATCTCTGGTCTCTTTGGGGACTTCCTGTGCCCCAGACGGGCCCCAGGGCACAGTATTCCCGCAAGACCCTGCAGAAGGCGGCCTGTGTCCTGCACTGTCTGAGAAGCCCGTCTGTTCTCTAGCCTGCTGCCCCCGCGGGGTGTCTGGGGCAGGCCCAAGGGGCCCGCTCTGCAGTCCAGCTTGCCTCTCTCCCCGCCTGCCCAACCAGCACCAACCCTTCCTCCTCAGCCTCCCCCCCACCTCTGAGTCCTTCCTCTCAGCCTTGTCTGGGCCCAGCCGCCCCCCACCCCTGGGTCTGCAGCAGGGCCTAACAAGTCCTCCGTGAGCAGAGCCCTGGAGAGAGGCGTTTCCTGCAGTGTGGCTGCCCAGCCCAGTTCCACCTCCGACCTGCCCCCTCTCTCTGACAGGACCACCTCCCCTGCCCCTTCACCGCCCGGGTGGGAGGGTCCCAGCCCTGCCTGACCTGCCCCCTTCCCCCATCACCGGGGCCCGGCTGCACACGTACCCGCAGTGGGTGCAGCTGAAGTGGTCCGGGTGGTAGGCATCGTTCCTGAACATGAGGGGCTGCTCGTCGATGACCAGGTGGCACCGCCGGCAGATGTACTTGCCCAGGCCCTTGGCCTTCTCGCGGTCGTGGCAGGGACGGCACAGGTGCCTGGGGGAAGGGAGGAGGGCCTTCTTCCCCATCAGCCCCAGCCGTCTCCCGGGAGAGACCCCGGATGGCTGCCTCCAGGGGTGCAGCCAGCGGGCCACAAAAACAAGCCACGCAACCCTGCGGACAGGAAGGCCACAGACAGGCCTTCTAAAAAGGGGCCTCTGCGCAGAAAAATGGCTGAAAGGGAGGATGCCGGAAGGCCGGAGCTCGCCGTCTGCATGGCAGGCACAACTTTGCTCTTTCCACGTTTTCTCAGCCTGGGACACCAGACAGAGCAGACCTTTCACTGACATTTGCTGAAAACTCAGTTTTATTTTTCAAATGCCTTTTCACACGCCTGAGTAACTGTGCAGTGACTGTGAGCCTGACCCCACTGTGCCCTGCTGAGCAGCCAGGACTGCCAGGGCTGTTGGGCCTACACACCCCTTCCTTTGGGATCTGCCAGGCAAAGAGAGGCACCCCAACATGTGCAGGCTCTTTCTGTCGCCACAGACAAGCACATCTGTGTCAGACGGAGGCCCCCCGACCCAGGAACTGTCCTGACAGAGTCTCTTTTGTACAGACTTCAGAGAATGTCTGACGCCGCTCCCTGTGCTGGGCAACAGCTGCGGTCTCTACTGAGAGGGAAGTCAACATGGCTTCTGTTTCCTCGAGCCTCCAAAGTGACAGGCATTTCGATTCAGGGTCTCCAGGCAAAGAGGCACAAAGGCCCCTGTCCACAGCTCCCCACCCCCGCCCACCTCCCCAGTCTGTAGTACCCCTGATGCATCCGGGCCTTCCCTCCCGCCCTTCCGCCCTTCCATACCACCAACCCACCCTCAGTAGCCTCCGCAGGGACCTGGTACCCAGTGTGGCCCCTTTTCCAGGCAGGTCAGAGAAGTTATGTAAGAGATTAACCCTCAAACTCAGAATCTCCCGGCCAGGTGTGGTGAGCAGACTCCAGATGCCAGGGAGCCAGCTCACTGCCCATGCCCTTGACCACCACGCCTGCCGCCTCATTTGGGTCTGGACTCCACGCTGCAGAACAGTGCCCTCTGCTCCGTGTGCATGTCTCAGCCCCCTGCCAGGTGTGAAGGGCACAGGGCCCACCTGCTGAGCCCCCAGCGGACTGCCTCCCAGCTGTGCTCCATGGTCCCCACGGGCCCCACCCAGAGCAGGGCTCAGGCTGGTCAGCTGGTATGTGAGTGAAGGAGTGGCTGAGAGAGGCAGGAGGGGCTTGGGCATTGTCTGCCCCGAGGTCGTGGCCAGGCCTAGACTGAGAGTCCCTGTGGCCCAGAACCCTCTCTCTACCTGCCGTGGCTGCAGATGTGGCCTGTGCCTGCAGCCCTCATCTTCGTGACTAAGGTTTTGCCCTTTTCGGCCCCCAGATCCTTGAAGCCTGAAGGGCTGCCTCCACCCAACCCTGTCTGTGCCCCAGCCCCCAGCCTGGAGTCACCCCAGGAGTCAGGGGCCAGCAGTCAGTGGGCAGAGGCGGCCCTCCATGCAGGCCTCTTGCCTAGCAGAGGAGCCTGGGCTGAGCTGGATCCCCAGGGGCACAGACAGCGCCCCATTATGAGACAGCCTGCAGCTGTGCACCGCTCAAGATAAAGACCGTGATTTATTCCATACCCCAATGGAGACTAATTATATGGGGCAGGACACAAGGACCCTACAGCAAGTGTCCTGAAAGAGTCCTCTCTCATTCCACCAAACAAGACTCCTCAGCCTCCCAACCCCCCATTCACAAGATCCCTCTCCTGTCCCCTTGCGGGCTTGGGAGGCCAGGCCCGTTGCCATGGCAGCCAGCCCCTCCCTACCCCCTCCCACTGGTAGGAAATTACCCCATTCTGAAATGTTCCTTGTGTCTATCAGTCCCAGCCAGCCCTCCACCCAGTCCTCGCCCACTCCACGTCTTCCAACACAGTGCCTGAGCTGGTGGGGGCAGGAGGGGGGCACATGGAGTGGGAAACATTGGAATATTCAGAGCCCAGTGTCTGCAGAGGCCGCCGTGGGAGTGGCCCGCCACACATTCCCCCCTCGGGAATGAAGTGGCCTTTCAGGGCCGGAGGGGCTGCAGCCACCCCTCCTGTCGTTAAATAGCCAGCCTTCAACGGCAGCTGCACGGAGCCCACAGTCACAGCTCCCCCTGCTGCCCTCCGCCCCTGCCCCTGCTACCTGGACAGCTGCTGAGGTAAGGGCCAGGAAGGCGGGCCAGATAGGGAGCGCAGGGGCCCTGCAGAGGCCAACTGGGAGCCGAGCAGGGACAGGAGGCCCTGTCCCTGAGCCGCCACTCTGTGATGATGGCTCTACCTGCTTATGAAGGCTGCCCTGGTCTGACGGTCAGCAGGAAGCAGCCCCTGAGCTCACTACTGGGCCCTGTGGCACAGGGCCACTGGAGGGAGGGAGGGAGGGAGGGAGGGAGAGGGGCTGGGCGAACGCGAGGGTGCCTCACCGCCACCGGCCACCACAGCACTGCTGCCCTGCTGCCCCCCCACGGCCGCACCTGCACTCCCGTCCCCCCTGCGAGCCCCACATGGCCCTTCACTTACTTGGCCCTCGCCTCTCCCACCTCCAGGGCCTCCCCCAAACCACCCCTCAGGTCATGTGTGCCTGAAGGGGCAGGAAACTACTCTCTGTAGTAGAATTCCAGGCATCCCGAACCCCTCTGGGGCCAGGGGAGGTAGTCCGGGCTGGGGACCTCCGCTTCAGTAATTAAAATGGGACATCAGGAGGCAAGGGCCTCCCTTTACTTGGGACACTGACTGGCCAGATGCTCATTCACTGCTGCCGGCTCCCTCCCCCCCGAGCCAGCCATGCTCCAGTGGTGGGGGTGGGGGACCCCAGGGGTGGTAGATGAGGCATGATGGGGGCAGTCAAGAGGCTGCCCAGCCTGACAGCCCAGCGTGCCAGAGCCGGGAGCAGCGCCCTGCCCCACACTAACGGAGGGCGTGGCAGGAGTCCCACACACCTCCACTTCTCCATCTGCGCCCAGCACCCAGCCCCTCCTCCTCGAGGGGAGCTGAGCCCACCCACCCTTCATGTCAGCCCTGCCAGGGGGCTCATCAAGGGCAGGAAAAGGAGAGGAAACTGAGCCCAGGCGTAGTTTGCAAAGAACTTGCCCCAGTTCCCCAACTGCCAGTGCAGAGCCACCGTGCCACCCAGCCATGGGCACACCTGTGCTCCTCCTGGCGAGCTGGCGAGCTCCTCTCCCGCCCCTCTGCAGCCCAGCCACGCAGGCTGAGCAGAGCTGGGATGGTGCAGCGCCACCCCTCAGGGGCGGGTGGGCAGGTACTGAAGTCCTCGGAGGGCTCACTCTTGGCTTCTACAGAGGGTGACACTTCACCGGGGCCGGGCTCCCTGGAACCTGCCTGCTTGTCCCACCCAGGCTTGCTCCCAGGCTCTGCCTCCAGCTGAAGCATGAATGGCCTTGAGGTGGCCTCCCCAGGTCTGACCGCCAACTCCTCCCCGGCCACCGCAGAGCAGTGCGGCCAGGAGACGCCACTGGAGAACATCCTCTTCGCCTCCTTCTACCTCCTGGATTTCATCCTGGCTTTTGCTGGCAATGCCCTGGCCCTGTGGCTTTTCATCAGGGACCACAAGTCAGGCACCCCGGCCAACGTGTTCCTGATGCACCTGGCCGTGGCCGACCTGTCCTGTGTGCTGGTCCTGCCCACCCGCCTCGTCTACCACTTCTCTGGGAACCACTGGCCGTTTGGGGAAATCCCGTGCCGACTCACCGGCTTCCTCTTCTACCTCAACATGTACGCCAGCATCTACTTCCTCACCTGCATCAGTGCTGACCGCTTCCTGGCCATCGTGCACCCCGTCCATTCCCTCAAGCTCCGCAGGCCCCTCTACGCCCACCTGGCCTGCGCCTTCCTCTGGGTGGTGGTCGCCGTGGCCATGGCCCCGCTGCTGGTGAGCCCGCAGACCGTGAGGACTAACCACACGGTCGTCTGCCTGCAGCTGTACCGTGAGAAGGCCTCCCACCACGCGCTCGTGTCCTTGGCCCTGGCCTTCACCTTCCCCTTCGTCACCACGGTCACCTGCTACCTGCTCATCATCCGCAGCCTGCGGCAGGGCCCGCGCGTGGAGAAGCGCCTCAAGAACAAGGCGGTCCGCATGATCGCCATGGTGCTGGCCATCTTCCTGGTCTGCTTCGTGCCCTACCACGTCCACCGCTCTGTGTACGTGCTGCGCCACGGCGGCCGCGGCACCTCGTGCGCCGCCCAGCGCGCGCTGGCCCGGGGCAACCGCATCACCTCCTGCCTCACCAGCCTCAACGGCGCGCTCGACCCCGTCATGTATTTCTTCGTGGCCGAGAAGTTCCGCGACGCCCTGTGCACCCTGCTGTGCGGCCGGAGGCTCCCGGGCCCGCCGCCCGGCCTGGAGGGCAGGACCAACGAGAGCTCGCTGAGCGCGCGCTCCGAGCTGTGAGCCGGCCGCCCCGAGAACCGCGGGGGCTCCGCAGGCCGCGCCCCCCGACGGCGGCACTCACCCCCAGAGCCCGGGCCCGCTGCGCCTGGGGCACCTACCCTTTTGGTCAGCCCCGCTCGCCCCGCCCCCGCTGGATACCCAGCGCCTCCCGAGTGAGGGGCGAGGAGGCCTGGGTCAAAGCGGGGAACATTGAGGGTCTGTCCGCCCGAGGGCTGCCTGCTAGGCTCCCCCCAACCCTCAGCTGCAGACACAGAGCAGACTCTGCAGAGACCCGCAGGGGGCGGCGGCGACGGACCCAGGAGTGAGGGGCCCGCTTAGTCCCAGTGGAGGGGAGGAAAGGGTGTCCAAAGATTTCCCGGAAGCCTCCAGTTGCCTTTGCGGCACTTTGCCAAACTACCCCTGGGTGAGGGGACAGGGACTATGATTTAGAGCTGTAAGTACATTTCAGGCAAGTTGCCAGGCGACTCCCTGTGGGGCACGGCAGCTCAGCGCTCGGTTCTTGATCTCTTCCGTAAACGCACACACTGACCTGCAAGTGGCCCGACCATCCCCGCTTCCCAGCATCTGCCCGTCAGGGTCCTGCTGGGGCCCCCAGCACGGCGGCAGGCTTGGCCCCCACCCACCCTGTCCCACTAACCGGCGGCATCCGCAGGCCTGAACCCTCCCAGGCCTCCACGAGCCTCGGTGGCCAAGCCTTGAGCTGTCTCACCTCACCACACAGCCCACATCACCTACTGGGTCCTCTCTGGCACTTGGTTACAGTGCTCACTGTAAGTGCACCCTAAGACTCTGAAGGTTACTGTGTAAGGTTAACAGACCTCCTTTCCCAGAACTCCCTTTGCCCCAAGAACAGCAGGGTGGATGCAAGACCAGCGGAGGCTGGGGCAGCCACACTCGTGACCAGGCAGGCTTGCTCCACGCTGGTGCTGGAGCCTGGCGTCGTGGGTCAGTGAGCTGTCCTGGGCCATGCAGGGGCTGAACCAGAGCAGGTCCCACCCTCATGGCTGCGCCACTGTGCTTCTGTGACACCCTTTACTTTCCAGCACTTCCAGCCTATTCCAGATTTTCCCAACAAAGCCATGGGGCAGCAGTACAGGACGAACTGCAGCTTGGGAGGGGACAGGACAGGACAGGCCTGCACCCAATCCACAGGGGACTCCCCGGCGCACTGCCTGCCCATGGCCCCTCCTTTAGACGGTGACACTGGGGCTCATGCTGAGGACCCTGCTGACCAAGACATCAGGCAACGTGGGGCAGGCAGAGGGACCAGGTCACCACAGACAGCATCCGGAGGGAGTGAAGGTGCCAAGATAGGATGAGATGGCACTGAGGGCCCGGACAGGAAAGGGTGGGGCCAGACAGACAGTCAGAGGCTTGGTAACAAGGCAGGCATGCTCTTTACCCACACAGGGACACTTGGGGTCAGGGGGAGAAGCTGAAGCTTGGTAGGGATGCAGGGGGATGCTCAGTGGAGATGGTACATGGGCAGTCTGGTGCCCAAGGGAAAGGTCTAGGGGGCAGACATGTATCTCTGAATTGTCCAGCCTGTCCCCTCTGGGAAGTGGGAGGGGAGGTCATCACTATGGGGGATGGGGGCAGCTGCTCCCCAGAACACCCGCAAGCCTGGGCGGGCCCTGGGGTGGCACCCCTCAGCCTCAGTCCTCCCCCAGAAATGGGGTTTCTCCTATCCACCCTGCAAGGGTGCAGTGGGGCGGGCAGCCACGTGGCACAGGCCACCATGCCAGAGTGGACCTGGCACACTGTGACCAGGGCCTCCGGAAGGGCCCATCCCGTCCAGGCCCACCTCACCTGCCCGCATTCTTCACAAAGCCCAGGTCGGCCAGCTCCACATCGCACAGCTCACAGCGGAAGCACCCTGGGTGCCAGCTGTTGTTCATGGCCTTAATGACGCGGCCGATGATGAACTCACCTGGAAGAGAGAGGTCCCTGCAGGCCAGCACAGGGCACACGCCCCTCCCCTCTGCAGCCCCTCCCAAGCCCCCATCTGCTCTCAGCTGGGTCATCCTGGAGCTGAGGGAGCCGATGCCTGCAGGGGGCCTGTGGGCTTGTCCGCTCCCAGGCCCCGCCACCCACTCTGGGCAGTGCGGGTGTGTGGAGGGGGGGGAGGGGTACTGCCTCCAGCCTTACCACAGGCTCCACAGCACGGAGCAAACAGCATTTGGAAGTCATGTTCGCAGTACTTCCGGCCTTCAAACTGCAAATGGGGCAGCAGAGAAAGGACAAGCAGACACCCATCATTCCCCCAGACTGGCTGGTCTCTGTGGGTTGGGACCTGCCCTCTGGAGGCTGGACAAGCACTTTGTGTAACTGCTTCCCCTGCAGGGAGGGTCACCCAGCCCTCCCTCCAGAGAGCACTTGCTGGAGGAGGTGCAGAGCTGAAACACAGCGCCTGTCCCGAGGGGAGGGCGCTCCAGACCGAGGGAGCCGCAGAGGCAAGGCCTGGGCTGGGAGGACCCAGCCCGCTCCGCAGCGTGCGAGAGCACGGCCTCAGAGAAGCCGGGGCCCAGCAAGGCCAGCCGTCGGAGGGTGGCTGCGGTTTGCCCAAGGTCTTGGCCGGCTAGTCCTGGGAGCAGCTGAGGCTGGGCTGGGAGATCAGGCTGGGGAGAGTTGGGACCGAGTTTGAATTATGTGTCACTTGACCAATTTCCTGTGTGTCTTCCCTTTGTAAGAAGTACATTTCACCCAGAAGCCACAAAAGACTCAGGCAGGGGAGACAGAAGGAGGGACACAGGAAGGGCATGGGGGCCGAAGAGAGAACCCTGCGTCCTGCAGCCAGCAGGAGGCAGTGTGGACACCACCAGGCAGCCCCTGTCTGGACACTGTAGGGCCCTTGCACCAGCCCCAAAGTGTGACCAAATCTTGCCTCTGCTTTCCTGTCCCTTGACAATTTTACTTTCTCTTTTTAAAATACGCTTTTCCCTTGTTCTCTAAAATGAGTGTCTAGTTAGGTTGCAGCTGAATAGAGCTCTGCCCAGTGACCTAGAGAGACAGCAGGGGTGTGAATTCATTAAGCAATGAATGTTTCATAAGCACCTACTGTGTACCAGGCTTTGTTCTGGGCACATGGCCATTGCTCATGGAGATCTGCCTTCTCCCCCACGGCCTACACAGTCAGCCAGCATCTCCCAGGAGGCTGGAGAGACCACAGCTGTCCCTGTGAATCCCACAGTGCTACCTTCAACCCCTCTGGCTGCTGGCTACCACCTGCCTCACGCTGCACACCAGTGGTGTGCCCGTATCTCAGTGAGTCACGACCAACACTGCGGATGAAGGCAGGGCGGGGGGTGGGGTCAGGTGTAAATATCCCCCCCATGGCCAGCTTCAAGCTACCGGCACATGTCACACGAAGATGCACCTGAGGCGTCCACCACCCTGGACGGCAGAACAGATGTCCGAGGCACAGAGGATTTTCAAATGTAACAAATGAGAGGAAGTGGTGAGTTTTCAGTATTTGTTACCTTTGTGTTTAATAAAAGCTCATCACGTTGTACATTTATATAATTGAATTTTTCAGAATAGTTGTGCTTACCTCTCAGCTTGCAGACTGCTGGAAATGTAACGATCTGCTCTCGTAAGCGAGTGCGGCCATATCTAGGCTGCTTCACTTCCATCTGGTTTCACCTGGCCTCTGGCCCCACCTGTCCCCCAGGCTCCCGTGCCTGCCCGATTAGTCTCCCGGCCGCGCAGCAACCAGAGCGGTCCTTCCAAACGCGGACAGACCATGTGAGCCCTCGGCTCATCCCCTGCCACAGCTCCTGCCTCTCCCAGGGCGAAACCCTAAGGCAGGCCTACGGAGGCCTGCAGAGCCGAACAAAATCCCCCTCCCGGCCCTCACCCTCTGCTGCTCCCCCTCCTTTCCTCTGCTTCCAGCACACTGGGCTCCCACTGGTCCTCACGTACCCACGCACCCAGCCCTCCGGGCCTGCAGATGTGCGCAGGGCTCCCTCACCTCCTGCAGGCCTGTCAGACGTTATCTTCCCTGACCACCACCCGGCCTGAGGTGCCGCATCGCCAAGTACTCGGCACCATGTACTGTGATCACCACCTGAGCCCAAGCGACGGTGCCTCAGGGTCCCCCAGAGTCCACCAGAGGAGGCCGGACAAATGGTGGCTCTCCTTCAGCACCGGGGCCACCAGGGGGCACTGGTCCCGTCTCACAGGGAGGGATGGGCCCGCAGGGGGGCGAGCAAGCTTCTGTGTGGGCGGGAGCAGAGCTCAGCTCGGGGTCTGGCGACCCGCGGCGCCCCTCACCGGGCAGGCCCACAGGCTCCCGGAGGGCAGATGTTGAGCTGGCCGGGGCTTGGGCCCCAAGCACCCTCACCTCGTAGAAGAGCCCCTCGGGGAACGGCCGGAAGCACTGGGCACACACGAAGCAGTGCTCGTGGTACAACTCTCCGTTGCTGTTGACGATGCGCTCGGTGGGGGCGAAGCGCGCCTGGCAGCGCTGGCACACCGCGTCGGCCAAGGCGCTGGACATGTTGCTAGGAGAAGGAAGAAAGGGCTTGGAACTGGGGACAGGTGAGGACGAGCAGGCCCCCTCCTCAAAAAGGTAAATGGTTTCCAGGCCACGGAGAGTCTCTCTCCTCGCCCCGAGGGTAGCCTTGGCACTGCAGGACCCAGGGACATGCAGGTGGGGCCAGGGTGCCTGGCACCGGCTTGGGTCACGCTGCACGGCTGCCCACACATCCCCGCAGCTGCTGTGTGTCGCGGGCATGCCAAGCACCATGCCGGGGCTGCAATGTGTGTTCCTGGATGACGGCCCTCTGGGGCCACGAGTGTCTCCTTTTACAGACAGACAGGCTGAGGCCAGCAGAGGGGGTGACCTCCCCAAAGGCCGCAGTGGGCAGAGGCAAAATCTAGATTAGAAACCAGCACCCCAACTCTGAAGGCATGCCCTGCAGCCCTGGTGCATGTCTGGGTGTGTCCACATGGGGCCTGGGCAGTCAGGGCCCCAGTGGCAGCTCCCGCCCACCATGCAGCTACGCCACCCCCACTCTCAGGGCCCAGGCTCAGCGGTGGGAGCACCAGGATCGTGGCTGCTCTCTGCCCAGTCAGATGGGGGCCCCAGTGAGCACTGGGCAGGGTGCCCGGCCACAGACAAGCTAGTCCTGGGAGCAGCTGAGGCTGGGCTGGGAGATCAGGCTGGGGAGAGTTGGGACCGAGTTTGAATTATGTGTCACTTGACCAATTTCCTGTGTGTCTTCCCTTTGTAAGAAGTACATTTCACCCAGAAGCCACAAAAGACTCAGGCAGGGGAGACAGAAGGAGGGACACAGGAAGGGCATGGGGGCCGAAGAGAGAACCCTGCGTCCTGCAGCCAGCAGGAGGCAGTGTGGACACCACCAGGCAGCCCCTGTCTGGACACTGTAGGGCCCTTGCACCAGCCCCAAAGTGTGACCAAATCTTGCCTCTGCTTTCCTGTCCCTTGACAATTTTACTTTCTCTTTTTAAAATACGCTTTTCCCTTGTTCTCTAAAATGAGTGTCTAGTTAGGTTGCAGCTGAATAGAGCTCTGCCCAGTGACCTAGAGAGACAGCAGGGGTGTGAATTCATTAAGCAATGAATGTTTCATA